AACATGCAAGAGAGGCTTTCTTTGCAGATGTCATAAACAAAACCTTAACAACGCTCGAGCTTTATTTGCTACTGTTGACAGGCTCACAAATCCTCCTGTGATGCTGCCACCTGAACTTCAATCTAATGCCGCCTGCAACAAGTTCTCCAGTTTCTTTTCAGAGAAAATTCAAAAGATCGGAGGATGAATCTGCACATCCACTCCAAAGCCAGTACCAATGCTGTGCCCAAACAAAACGCAGGAAAAAATGCAGGAAAAATGACCCAATTTCAACTACTTCATTATAAAACTCTCGAAGAAATTATAAGTCAATTAAGCTCCAGTTCCTGCTGTCTGGCTGTCCTACCCTCACATTTCTTTAAGAAAGTCCTGCCTGTCGTTGCTAATGATCTGATCCATATAGTAAACACATCGTTGTCTTCAGGTGTTTTCCCCCAGACTTTGAAAACAGCAGTTATCAAACCACTGATAAAAAAGAACAATCTGGACAAATCACTACTGCAGAAATTCAGGCCGATCTCCAACTTCCCATTAATCAGCAAAGTTATTGAAAAAGCAGTTTTTAAACAATTAAATCATTTTCTAACAATAACCAACCGCTTTGACTCCTTCCAGTCTGGTTCTCGTGCTCACCACAGCACGGAGACGGCCCTTGTAAAAGTGTTCAATGACATCCATATAAATACAGACAGTGGGAGAACCACAGTGCTGGTTCTGTTGGACCTCAGTGCAGCTTTTGACACTGTTGGCCACGACATTTTACTGAATCGACTGGAGAGTTGGGTCAGACTCTCCGGTCCAGTGCTCAACTGGTTTGAAGCTTACATAAAGAACATGGATTTCTTTGTTTCAATCGGAAACTTCTCATCAGAGAGGTTAAAGGTCACATGTGGGGTACCCCAAGGTTCAAACCTAGGATCCCTTCTTTTCAATATTTGTATGCTCCCACTGGCTCAGGTTAGAACAGGAAATAGGATTAGCTACCATAACTATGTGGATGAGACACAGCTCTACATCACGATGTCACCAGGTGACTCTGAACTCATCCAATCACTGAATAGATGCTTAGAACAGATAAATGTGTGGATGTGCCAAAACTTTCTCCAGCTGAACAGAAACAAAACTGAAGTTATCTTTGGACCTAAAG